ATATTAAAAATTTATTTACTTTTGAATACCTACATACATAGAAGTCATTCGCTTTAATATTTGTTTTTAATCTAATCGAATTAATTGTAATTAAAAAGTGGTATCTGCTGTAAAATTTCACGAGGAAATTAAAATGTTATTTAGTTAAATGAAATGGGTATCTGATGGTATTAGCATACCGTGTCCAATTTATTCAAAAACTGTAATTAAAAACCAAAAGATAAAACCCTTCTGCCACTGAAAGTTCCTTTCAGTTGATATACAAATTTTAAATAAAAGTTTATTTATGCAACAATTTTTTGAAATTTCCATTCAGTTAACGAATTATAGTCCGACAAGCAACGCGTGTGCTGGAAACAAAATATAAAATCAAAATGCGTCTCTTGAAGTTCTTGCATTATCAGCGCTATTTGGGCTTAAACAACTTGGACTACTCCACAGTCTCGAGGCATTATATACTAAAAGGCAGCTGCGTATCTCACATGCTACATTTACTTGTGCAAGCTGTTTTGATTGCTTGCGTTTTGGCCACGTTTATGCAGTGGTCGGTTAATTATCAGGCAACTGATTCGCGAACTGGCGACAATTTCGATCATTTGGTCATCTTGGCTGCATCGTTTACCCAATTGATTTCAAATGCTTGGATGCGCTTGCATCAGCAGATGCAACTGAAGCTGCTTAACAGGTTGAGCCGCGTGGCCACATCTCTGCAAGCTGTTCAATTGGAGAAGATTCGCGCCCGTTGGCTCTACTATCTTTGGCTGGCAATTTGCCTGTACTACGCCTTGGATATTGTCTTTTTCGTAGTATTCGATATGGACATGAAGCGAGATAATTTAATTTTTCTACTTGGCTTCTATGTACGCCTCGTCTGTGCAAATTTCATCATCATCTGCTACAGCTCACTGGTGTGTCTAGTGAAGCATCTGTTTCGCGCCCAAGCAGCCCAGCTGCGACGACAACTGCGCAATGATCGGATCTGCCTGCGACACATAGCCAACAATTTGAAGCTGAATGATGAGCTTATGCTCCTATGCCAGGATGAGTTGGTGAATGTCTTTGGCGGTGCTCTAATTCTGCCCTATCTATATGGGACGCTCGATGCCACCGAAGTTTGCTATCTGGCTCTGCCCATGGATGGTTTCTCCTATATAGAAATGTTACTGCTGCTCCGGTGGATGATACCAATTTGCATATTCCTTAGCATGCCGATGATAATCAACGATTTGGCTGATGAGGTAAGCCTATTTACGATAGGACTATTTACGCAATGTCACGAAAAAATAAAATGGCTGAAAGTGACAGCTCAAGGAAAAGCATGTAAAATATTGAAATGTCTATAGAAATACGCTTTTTGGTACACACAACTCTGTTCAAATAAGAGCCCCAAGCACTTCAATTACGTTGATATCTTAGCAATTTCCGAATGTTTCCATTTAGACAATTCCCAAAACTCAAAGAGAATTTAGTTGGACAACCTAACGCACGAGAAGCAGTAGATTTTCGGTACAGCATGTCGAAGTCGAAGCAAAGTGAAAGACTTTTTCCATTTTTACATTATCAACGTTTCATGGGACTCACGGACATTGATTACTCCAGTAGTTTGGAGTCTTATGTGATCAACGGAAACTGGTGTTCCCATAGCATACAGCTAGGGATACAAATTGTTTTCATTGCGTGTTTTTACGGTGCGGTTTCTGGAAGATATGTGAATTTGTCTTCCGAGTCGGGCAATGATTTTCATCACATCTATATACTAACGGCTCCGATTACCCAGATATTAGTTAATATCTGGTTACGTGTCAAACAGGAGTCGCAGTTGATTATCCTTAACCGGTTAACTGATTGGTCCAGGGACTTGGGAGTAAATACCTTGGAACTGAATCACCCTAAATGGCTCTATCGCATCTGGGTAGCCATTTCCATCCTCTATGCTTGCGATATTGTTTTCGCACGTTTCTATTTTAATGTTAATCAAAGTTTCGGGTACTACCTCGCCATGTCGGGCTACATTGTGCTTCTCGTGCGCACCAACTACATCATTTTGTGCTACACAGCAATGGTCAATCTGGTAATGGTGCTGCTGGAGCAATAGGCAAATCAGCTTCAGTCGGAAGCTACGAATACCGTGGACAGGCTAGCACCGAATTTGCGCTTTCATGATAAGCTATCCCTCCTTTGCCATGAACAGATTGTTGAAGTTTTTGGCGGCTCTTTGGTATTCCTGTTTCTGTATACCGTACTGGACGCTATATGTACGTGCTATTTAGCCTCATTGGAGGAACGATTTTCATTTGTAGAAGTCCTGTTCGTGCTCTGCTGGATAGTGCCGATATTTATGTCTCTTATCATACCTCTGACAGCCAATAATTTGACTAAGCAGGTAAGTGAGTTTAAAGGCTATATATTTATGTCTATTCTAGGAGTAATTTGAAGTCTGCTGCAAAACATGAAGCGTTGAACATTGCATGTCGAAATCATTTATAAATCTTTCTAAGCCTCTACATCTTTATGTGTCTATGTATCTATCTATATCTCATTCGTTTAATTTAAAAATGTTTCTGTTTTGTCTTCATCTTCTTATTAATCTATTAATATTTCGATAGATCCATCTCAATCAATATCTGTATCTATGTATCTGTATCTGTATCTGTATTTGTATCTGTGTATCTGCATCTGTATCTGTGTATCTGCATCTGTATCTGTATCTGTGTATCTGTATCTGTGTACATCTTTGTACCTGTATCTGAGTATCTATCTCTATTTGGTATTATTTGAGCTTAGCCATTTACATGTCGATTTTTCCCGCTTAGGCAAATAGCACCTTAATAGCCCACGGATTATCTTGAATTTCAATTAACTAAATTAGTACGAAGCAGGTATTTCGTTCAGTTATCCATTCGACTTCTAGGCACGCGCTAGTGTAATTCAGAATGTTTGTCAAGCCAAAGCAGAGAAAACTTTTAACTTTTATTCGCTACCAACGATATTTGGGACTAACCGATATTGACTACACTAACATTACCAATTGCTATGTGATTAATAGAAATTTATGCTCTTTTGGCTTGCAGTTCTTGATTTCAACTTGTCTAATCTTCGGTACTTATTGTATTTTGGAAGAAGATAGCCGTGTATACTTGGACATGCGTTCGCGAGTTGCTAATGAATTCTTTTATTTGGTGCTCCTGGCGGCTCCTATTGTTCAGATCTTTATGCAAATCTGGATACGATGTCAGCAAGATGCGCTACGCAATCTACTGGAGATGCTCAATGACTTAGCCAGTCGATTAAACGTTAACACATTTGAGCTAAGCTTGCCACGTTGGCTTTTTGGCCTCTGGATTGGCATTAGCTTTTACTATGTCGGCTGTATAATTTCCTCTTCAAAATCCATTTACATCAGCTTCGGATTTGTAGTCGCTGTTATTGCGTACCACGTGCATATTACTCGCACCAACTATATCATCACGTTGTACACCTCATTATTGTATGTCACATTGGTCCTTTTGGAGGAGCAAGCAAATCAATTAAGTATTATAGAGAATGGTATTATTATATCTCTGAGAGAACTGGCGGACAATTTGTGCATTCACGACAAGCTGCTATTGCTAAGCCATGAACAAATGGTTAATGTATTTGGCGGTATCTTTGTATTTGTTGCACTGTACTTTCTACTGGATTCTATCTGCATTTGCTATATATCTGCCTTGGAGGGGCGTTTCTCAGGAGAGGAAGTGGTATTCCTCTTAAGTTGGAGTATACCACTTAGTTTTTACCTAATTATGCCGTTGTTAATTAACAGTCTGGCCAAAGAGGTGAGTGATATGTTTTAAGCTCTGACTTATCTTTACTTGCCTGCAACAAATATTCATATATCTAACCATAGTACTATCAATGCAGTGTCCAAATATGTGAAGGATAATTTGTGTTTCTTTTTGAATTTTAATCATAATAATTGGAACTAATTAAAATTAAAGTCCCCCACATTGAAGAGTCGCTTATCATAAGTGGAAATTTTGATCATATTTTATTGCATGACATGAAATATGTTCAATGTATGAATATGAAACATCAGCCTCATTAAGAGTTTTACTTTTATATCTCTAAATAATTATGCCTTTATTATTATTACTCTATTACTCTTATAGTCTTTTAATCCATGTATTTATACATATTTAACACTATCCCTCTATCTCTCAATCTGTCGTTCTGTCGGTCTTTTCTACTCTGCAATTTCAAATAGCGCTAATAACTCATGTCATACCTCAAGCTTATCCTGAATTGCAATTAAGTGAATTACCAGTGGCCATTGCTAATTACGTCTATAGCACATAGCGTTCAGTTACCTATTCGAGTTTTAGGTACGCACTAGTGTACTTCAGAATGTTGGTCAAGCCAAAGCAGAGAAAACTTTTAACTTTTATTCGGTATCAACGATATTTGGGACTAACCGATATTGATTACAGCAACATTACGAGTTGCTATGTGATCAATGGAAATTTGTGCTCATTCGGCATGCAGTTCTTGATGTTAGCTGTTTTAATATTCGGTACTTATTGTACTTTGGAGGATAATGGCAATGCATACGTGGACATGCGTTCGACAGCTGTGAATAAAATCTTTTATTTGATAGGCCTGTTTGGTCATTTTATTCAGATATTCATACAAATCTGTATACGTTGTCAGCAAGATGGACAATGCTATTTAATCGAGATGCTGAATGACACAGCCCGCGGATTAAAAGTCAATACATTGAAGTTATCTTTGCCGCGCTGGCTATGCCGTCTCTGGATAGGCATCAGCTTATACTATATAGCCAATTCAATATCGTCTGCAATCTCCAACTACACCAGCTTCGAATATGTAGTCAGTGCTATCGGGTTCCATGTCCACATTTTGCGCACTAACTATATCATCACGCTGTACACCTCATTACTGTATGTCACGTTGGTTCTACTGCAGGAGCAGGCTAATCAATTGCATATTATAGAGAGTGGAATTAATATATCGATGGCGCAATTGGCCAACAATTTGTCCATTCACGATAAGCTACTATTGCTATGCCATGAACAAATGGTTCAAGTATTTGGCGGTATATTTGTATTTATTGAATTATACTTTATACTGGACTCCACCTGCATTTGCTATATGTCTTCATTAGATGAGCGTTTCTCAGGAAAAGAAGCAGTATTCTTATTAAGCTGGTTTTTGCCACTTAGTATTTATACAGCCATGCCGTTGTTACTTAACAACCTGGCCACACAGGTGAGTGACATGTGTTAAGCTCTGACATACAGCTACAAAAAACTTGAAATGTTTGGTTTGGTTTACTAAAGTCTAAGGGTTGATTGAAGCTAATATGTAGAATTCCTTCCTTCCGAATTTAGCTCAATGAGGACTGGGTTTTAGTTAGTGGAAAGCAAAGGGGAGAGTCTATATTCATTGTCTTTCTTAATATATTATCAACACTTTTTAAGTTCTATGGATATCGAAAATCTAGCTACATTCTTGTTAGGGGTCCGTACTTTGTATATTATCTGTTCCACCCAAAATTGACAAGACAAAAAGTCATTTAAACTACATCCATTTATACTGGAAACCAATCCAGGTTTCCGCTTCCTCGAAACTCGGGTACTCCTGATTCGTTATCTTTAGTTGGCTGCTACCAATTTTAATATTCCTAGCCATGCAACTGATTATCAGTAATCTGACTAAACATTTAAGTTATTAGCTTCAATTTGTTGTTTTTTTTTTTTTTCTTTAATTAGACTAATAAGCACTAAATGAAATGAAAGATAACCGAAGATAGATGTAAATTCAGTAGTCCTCACAACGTTTGGTCAAACGCAAGTGCATTGAAAATGTTTTCACAACCGAAGCATCGTAAAGTCTTACTCTTTATACACTATCAGCGTTATTTGGGATTGAATGACATAGAATATTCGAAGCAGTTTCATGGTTACTCAATAAACTTCGATTGGTCCTCTTATACAAGTCTACTTCTGATTCTGGCTATCGTATGCTCCACTCTTTATGGAGCTCTGAGCGGAGTGTGTGTTTCTAACGATGAGATGGTTTCTAGTCCAGTTCAATTATATTATCATCTATATTTGGTTACGGCACCTATTTTACAAATTATATTCACCATTTTACTACGCATAAGGCAACAAAGTCAGCTGCAGCTACTGCAGAGAATGTCTTTGTGGAGTCAACGCCTACTTTTGGATACACAAAGATTTCCCTGTTCCCGTTGGCTTTTTTGGCTGTGGCTTGGCACCAGCTCTGTCTATTCTATACACATGACTATTTTCACAGCGCTCTTCTGGCATACTTGTCCACAGATGGAGCTTATAATCTATTATATCTGCTCAATGCTGGACATCGTGCGCACTTTTTTCATTATCATTTGCTATACCTCCTTGACAAGTGTTATGTGTAGCCTGTTGCATGCACATGCTGAGCAACTGATTCGGGATAAATCTGTGGGACTATCCCCAGAGCGACTGGCCAAACATTTGAGCATTCGTGATGAACTCTTGTTGTTATGTCACGAAGAGCTCGTTCAGGTCTTCGGCATCGCCATGTTGTTGAGTCTCCTACATCTATGTCAGAATTGCGTATATGTCGGCTATTTGGCTACATTGGAAAGTCGCTTCTCATATGTGGAAGTTTTGGTCATAATTTATTGCATGGCACTAAATATATTCTATATATACCTGCCGTTGACAATTAATCATGTGGCCAATCAGGTGAGTCCATATTCATTTTATTTCATTTTATACATTATACATGTAATGGGTATATTTTCGTATGGTTCTATTAATTAGATTGGTATTAGCTACAGGCTAAAATACCCAGAAATTACTATAAATGCATCACTTTTTTGTTTGGCTCGAGTATATTATATTCGATCTTTTTTGATGATCTTAATTATTTGTAGCTCAAGGGTATATTTCATTCGACTCTTTTAAATTAGATTTCAATAATACTGTCACAACTTGAATATAATTCCAATAATTGGAATTGAAAGATGGAACTATAGATATAATTTTCATTCGCTTCATAAAAACATTTCGTTATACTCAGTTATTCTCCAAGCCTTTACTAGGACGCAAGTGTGTTGAAAATGCTCAAAAACCCGAGGGATCGCCAACTGTTAAGTTTTCTCAATTACCAACGTTACTTGGGATTGAATGATATAGACTACTCGAAGCAACTGCAAAGCTATATAGTCCACTTTGATTGCTGTTCCGGCTTGAGTCAGCTCTTGGTGCTGCTCATTGTGTTTGGCTCTCTGTGTGGAATTCTGACCGGAGAATGTGTTTACAATGCGGAAATGATTTCGAAGCCTGTCAAAGCATTCTACTATCTACATCTATTGATGCCACCGATCATACAAATATTGCTTAATCTGTGCCTGCGTTTCCGGCAGCAACGACAACAACTGCTTCTGCAGCGAATGTCTCGGCTGACCCAACGTTTACTTCTGAACACCGAGTCATTGCCATGCCCTCGTTGGCTGTATCGCCTTTGCTTGGTCAGCTGCACTTTCTATATCCTGCATCTAATGATGTTTGCTGTGATATATAATAACTATTGTCATCAGGTCTACAAAGTTTTCTATTACATTTGCTTTTTTCTGCATATCATAAGGAAGAATTTCATTCTAACTTGCTACACATCCCTGGTGAATGTGGTCTCAAATCTGTTGCAAGCACAAGCGGCACAGTTAAGCCGAGCATTACCTGATATTCATCCAGATAAATTGGCAATCTATCTGCAGACTCACGATGAAATATTGCTGCTGTGCCACGAGGAACTCGTTCAGGTCTTTGGCATCTCTCTGCTCGTCTGCTTCATATTTCTCTGTCAGAATTCCATATTTGTGGCCTATCTAGCAACGCTGGAGAGTCGCTTCACTTTTTTAAATGTTCTTGGCATCCTATCCTGGATGACATTTAATATTATCTATATGTACGTGCCGTTGAAAATCAATAACTTGGCTTACGAGGTGAGTATTGAAGCAACTAAAATTGTTTGCCATTTTGCATAGATCTCTATGTAAAACAAATTTTTTTCCAAGAGTAATAATATTGATATTACACACATATAAAAAGCCCTAAAGTCCTATTTGAGCATGTCATTCAGAATATAATCATTGACAAAAAACAAAACGGCTTTACCAGTGACAAAACATAGCCATGGCTTTGTGGGTCAATTATTCTTTCAAATAAGTTTTCGGACAGATAGAATATTTTGGAAATAAACATTACGGATTTTTGGATTAGCAATACAAATACATGACATGAGGTCACAGGAATTCCTAAGTTTAAATAAGGACAATTACAGATTTCAAATATATTTCCTTGTATATATATGTACATACATATATATGTATATGAATGTATATCTCCATAATAAATATCTAAAATACAAATACAGTAGAATCTCAATTATTCAAAATAGCAAGGGGATCAGTTTTTTCGATTTACACAGAAATTCAAGGGGATATAATTTTTTTCAATTTAACGGGGTAGGAATTATCGAGACTCGACTCTATATGCAAGACATCACTTATCATCTACACACAGAATGCATTAATATAATTAAAATATTAATTTTAATTTGGACTTTTATCGTACATCAAGTTTCTCTCAATATCACTATTGTATCAATCGCTTGGTTCTATAGTTCGAACTTTATGCCCCATTCAGTACATATCGTGCAACTTGTGGCGCAGTATACAAAAGACATGCAATCCCAGGAGTTGTTCGCGTTTGTGCACTATCAACGATTTTTGGGTCTCAATAATATCGACTTTTCGAGCTGCTTGCAGCGTTATGTGCTGCATGCCACATGCTGCTCACGCTTTGCCCAGCTATTGGTATTGTGCATCATAATTTGTGCATTGCTTGAAGGATTGCTGGGCAACCGTGTGGATTACGTGAGCATGGAGTCGACTGTGGGCAGTGCCGTCTATCAAGTTCTTCTTTTTATGTCCCCGGTTACGGAGTTGCTGTTGCACATTTGGCTACACAGCCAGCAGCACTTGCAACAGAATCTACTGAATCGCCTCATGGACTTGGCTCTTCGTTTGCAGGTGGACACTCAAGCATTCAGTTCGCTTCGCTGGCTTTATGGCATTTGGCTTGGCATTAGTTTGATATACGTATACCATATTCTCCAATATACGATTGCCACATGGGAGCAGAACAAAGGATTCCAGCAGCTGCTCGGTCTAATCTGCATGTGCATGCACAACATACGCATTAAACATATCATCACATGCTACACAGCCTTGGTATATGTAGTAATGATTCTGCTCCAGGCCCAAGCGCATCAATTGCACTTGCGAGATCAAATTCCTCTGCTCGATATTACAAGTAATTTGAGTATTCACGATGAACTTCTCTTGCTCTGCCACGAAGAGATGCTGAATGTCTTTGGTGTTGCGTTGATATTTCCATTTCTCTACTTTGTGCTGGATGCCACCTGCGTATGCTACATAGGCACATTCGTGGATCGCTTCTCACATAAAGAAGTCCTGTTAGTGCTTAGTTGGCTAATGCCTATATTCTTCTACATGGCTTTGCCTTTAGTCGTTAACAATATGGCCAATCAGGTGAGTTCAGAGATAACAATTAGCAAGGTCTGAAGTTCTATTAGTGAATTGATTATTCTCAATTTAGTCAAAGCATGGAAAACTTGTAATCTAAATAAATTTTCTGGACAAAATTTATTAAACGATATGACTTGGAAATAATCTGAATTAAGAAATTATTTTTAGATATATAAAGAACATTTTCTAGTTAATATAGATTTAATTATTAAAATTTATTTAATCAATATTAAATATTTGAAAATAATATAAAGTTTCATTAAATATTACAACAATTTAGAAATTGTAGTTAAAATAATTTTATATGAAAACAAAGAGTTATGAAGGTGGAGAGTATTTTTGGGTTTTTTACACGAGAATAAACTATAAATTTCTCTCGAGTATTACTAATGATAGCGTTATCTTTTATCCTAGATAAACCATTTTTACGGTTTCAGTGCCCGTAGTGGACAGAAAGCTAACATTTGGTAGAAGTATGATAGGAAAAAGTAGAAGTTACAAATTCAAAGTATTTCGTCAAATTGTACAAAACCAATATACTCCTTTTTCTTCGTAAACATGTTGACACATTTATATGCACATATCAAATATTTAATTAAATTTGGATTAATGTCCTACTATTTATGATACATAACTCAAGTGCTATAACCATATGTAAACCTACATGAAAGCTAAACAAAGCACTATGAAAACACAATCAGGAAATTGTTTGTCAACAAATGAATTTCGATATAAATACTCCACCAAGAGATTTCATTGAAATCAGTTTCTGTTGAGTACTGAGTGAATTACAATCATTATCATGAAAAAGTATAAGCCAGTGGAGTTATATCCATATTATTGCACCTGCCGATATCTGGGCATCTTTTGCATCGAGTACGATTATCATATGGGTCGATTTCGATTGCGTCGCAGTATCATTTTCTATTTGATCCATCTGATAGTGCAGATGTATTTGATCAGCTGCATGGTGATTCTGGTGTGCTTTTGGACCTTTCACTTCACTGACGAAATGACCGCAACAGGGAATCACTATGAGCGCCTAGTGCTTCTCTTGGCCATGATCATACAATTCGTGCAGAATACTTGGCTATTCTTGCTGCAGAAGCTGCAAATTCATGTCGTGCGACAAGTGGAGCTATATAAGAGGAAATATTTGACGGGTCTACGACTGCAGCTGCCACAGCGTTTGTTTCTCGTTCTGGTCTTTGCCAATATCATCTACTTTAGCAACTTTCTGAATGTCTGCATTAGCGACTGGCTCACCCACATATCCATTATGTTTCGAATTAGCACAATTGGCTTTTTCTGGCGCGCCATGACGAGCAGCTTCATTCAGGGCACCTACATATCTCTCATTCATGTCATACGGCATTTGCTGAAGAGCAATCAGGCGCAGTTAACCGTTTTGGTCCATCAGCTGCAGCAGCCCAAGCGCAGCTGCGGCGATATTCTGCGCCTGCGCGCCTGCCTCGATATGCATGACCGTCTGCTCATCCTCTGCACGGATGAGGTCAGTGTCGTCTATGGCTTCAGCATTTGGCTCTGCATGCTCTTTTCCTCATTGGACTCCACTAATATATTATATATCACAATGCTCACCGACACGGGCAAATCACTGTATGAAAATATATTAAGGTCAGTTATTTGGCTCTCGCCCACAATTATGACCGCGGCAACAGCCCTAATGAGCGATACGGTTCACGTGCAGGTAAATTAAATATGTATTTTATTAAATTCTATTAGCTACTATTTTTTGTTTTTGAATTGGAAATACTAGATTCTTATATTAGATATTTGTACTATAAATATTTGTTAGTACTTTAAAATGACTTGTTAATCGCAAATACTTTCAACAATTACATTCTGATTGAGACAATTGTACATTCAAATATATTTTATTTCCAAATTATTGTCTCCAGGAATATCTATGTATATTATCTAGCCTTATCTTCATAAAGAATCAAATTCGAACTAATAGAAATTTTTTTTTTTTTTTGAAATAAATATCAGGTAGATTTTTGAATTTTCAAAAACTTAATTTTTTTACGATTTTAGTTTACAATGACAATATTTATAAATCATAGTTTTCTACACAAATGCGTATGGATTGGATTTGATTCAAAAAAGTTTTTTATATTACCGTTTCCAACCTGTTTAAGAATCAATATTAAACTTTATCTACTCAATGTACTGCTTACGACTTCATTTTTTAAGTATTTCCTGCAATGAATATTCTAAATCTAATTCAGTTAATGTCCTGCCTTCTGTCACCTTTGACTATGTTTGTTTATCTATAGACCCTTGGGTGCAGTCAGGTTAAACACTAAGCGCTAATGAAATGTAAACATCAATTGATTTGATTGTTAACTCATATTGTGTGGTCATATAATATATCAGAAAATATCCCCTGGCTGTTCCTCCTCAACAAGTTGATTGACCTAACACCCCGGACAGGGCAGTTAGACATCCTTCTGCGTCAGTTGCACCTGTTCCGTCATGTTTTCCGGTGACGAGCTGCGCGTCTATTTAATTAGCCTAAAGTGTATCGGTTTACTCTATGTAACGCACGATGTTAACCAACCGTATCGGATTAACGCCAGCGATTTGGATCAGACTTTAACAGTAGTCGGCTTAACGCTTCTCCAGCTTTTCATATGGCTTGCCTTCGCGCAGCTTTTGCTAATGCCTCAAACCTTTATGCTGCCCCAATACACAGCCGTTGGCAATACGTATTTCGTAATTAACTTTGGTGTTATTTGCATAGTTATATCGCTGATATATCTAGGATTCTATGCGAGACGCCAGCGCCTATTGGCCGTCTTTGCCTTCATTCTCTATCACAATTACAAGGAGCTCAAGAATTGCTATGCCAAACGTTTCCTTAAATTCTACTGCATGTATGTGGGTCTAACGGTTATTTGTGCGATTACCTATGCGGGAGCTTTCCGATTCGCTAACTTACACATCGTGCCGTGCATTCTGCTAAGTTTCATCTATACCTACAGCTTTATGCTGATAGGGCTTATCATAATTCTATATGGCTGCCTTACACAAATCTTGGCTGCCCTTTTGCACCTATATAATCGCGAAATGCTGGCAGCAATAACCACACCAAGAGTAAACACAACAACAACAACAACAACAGCTACTACTACTACTACTACTACAATCAATCGCCTATATAAACGTAATCAGATGCTCATCGTTTGCCACGAGCAGCTGAACTCTGTGTTTGGTCCATTTATAGCGCTAATTACGGCTTTGTGTTCAATGTCGGCGCCAGTTGCTCCGTTTTTTATGATCACAATTGTCTTTAAGATGGATATCAAACAAATTGGCCTGACCAACATTTTTATGGCATTGTACACATGCATGATGTGGAATATACCCTGGGCCGCCGGGCTGATATTGATCTTTCGACAAGATATCGTGCGGCAGGAGGTAAGAAACGCGTGAAGAGGAGGTAGAAGCGAAGCAGGAAATTTAAAATACAAATATTGCAATAATATTACTACAAGAGTATTTATTCCAAAAATAGTATGCTGAGCTAAAAATAACTTAAGCGGATTGGTCTGAAGTATGTGAGCTATGCGGGGCAATTTAACCTAAACCAGAATCTCTGAGTCTGACTTTCGCCTCGTAAATGAAATCAAATCCCATCATTTTTGTGTAATTAATCTGAAGCCAAATGGCATCTACAATTTTTGTATAGTATTAAAACAAAAATCCATTAAATACATATGTATATACATTGAAAATAAACCAGTTAGTCTTAAATATGCAATTTCTCAGACGAATAAAAGTTAAACACAATCTGTGTATAAACTAGGGCCAAAAAAATGCATATTTAATCCAAGCCGGTTTATTTCTACAGTTTCAAAATTATGTAGCTAAGGTTAGACTAATATTTTTTAAAAATTTTCTGACTTTTGGAATAAAATTCTTTGATGTAAAATCAAATCTGTTTAAATGATATAAATCAAATCAATTTTTAGACTTATAGGATAGGAGACTCTGAACTAATTTAGACGAGTCATACTAAAGTTCAAACTGATTCAAACCTAATCCAATTCAAGTCTAGACCAAGGCATACGCAGTTAACAGTTAATAGAAGACCTTGGACATTTTTACAACTTTTTAGCCGGTTTTGTTCCTAATCATTCAGCATTGGCTAATATCTAACACGAATGCATGTAGGTCAGTTCCCGAACTCAGAGCCAATTTATTCCCAGTGTTCATTTAGCTACCCCAACAATTTAGACTGAACCAACTTGTTGACTCGGCTAATTAGGGACCTGAGTGATTGATCAATAACTAATATCTAATTTCTAAATCAAATATATTTTGTTGGTGCACTTAGTAAATTGAGTAGCTATCTGTGCTGGCTGGTTAGTTTGTGACAGCATGTCTGGCAGTCGCAACGTGCGCTTATATTTGTGTGTCCTGTACAGGTTGGGCATGCTGTGTGCCCGGTTCGATGATCGCGAGTGTTTGCTACAGTCAACACCCGGCAGTGAGCGCTACGCGCTTTTCCACATGCTGATCGTACTGATCGCGGCATTCGCTGGCTTCATCTACGTCTGCCTGTGGCCCCAAGAGCTCTACATGGGCATTTACAACGATACGGGCAACTACTATGAACTCTTCAATATACGCAGCTTTTGCGTAGGTCTCTGCCTGCTCCATATATGCCTCTATATACGACGTCAGCGTCACATCGAGTTGGTTCAGAAACTACTTCGCCTGCATCGCTTGTGCCCCGATGCGGCCATGGAGCGTTACTTTCGGCGCAATTTCGATGTCTACATAGCTCTGGCCGTGCTCTGCTTGGTGAACTATTTGAATGGCTATGCCCGGGCGGGCCTATCCAAAGTTCCCACTCTACTCTATATTGTTGTGTATTTGTATAGCTTCTCGGCAATGTGCCTGTTGCTGGTGTTCTTTGTCTGCTTGCAGCATATTGTAGCAGCGGGCTTGGCGAAATTAAACAGCCAGTTAGTGGAGAATAACTCCGTGTCAAATTGTAAGCATTTGCTCTACAAAAGACACCGTCTCTTGGATATTGTTGCCGCGGAGCTAATTGCATGTTTCGGAGTCCTAATACTACCCATTGTACCACTCGTCCTATTTCTAGCCCCCTCTGGTCCACTCTTCCTGATTAGCACCGTTATGGAGGGCAAACTAAAAAAACCTTTCGAGTTCACCATATATTGCATAACCTCCTCTCTATGGAATATTCCTTGGCTGGCTATGATAACGTTTATGTTGCGGTCGAATGTGATCACAACTGAAGTGAGTGAGTTGATTAATCAAAATGTCTTACCTAATTGCTTGATCAAAAATTATCCAAAAATTGTAATGGGGAGAGAATGTACCTTCTTTTTAATTTCATATATATTTTTATGCTTGAAGTTAAATAACAGTAATGTATTAGTTGTTAATAGGCTTGTTTACAAGATTTCAGAGCTGGCTTTATTTTAGTTTTTCTTTCAATTAACTTTTTGCTAAGTTTCCTTGCTATAAAAAGAACTTAAAGTTTTCATTATATAAGAATATTTAGCAACATAAATCATATATTCAGTTTTTTTTTTTTTTTTTTCGAAATTATCATTTTTATCTATTTCTCTTACGCTCTCTCATAGGCCAATAAAACAGCTAAAATACTTGCAAAAATACCTAGAACTGGCTCTGGAGTGGACAAAATGGTCAGTATACCAATTTACATATTTAAATATTTGCTCGTACAAAGATTATAATAAACCACATTTTTAAATAGGTTGAAAAGTTCTTGCTCAAAAATCTGCGCCAGCAGCCAATACTCACAGCCTACGGATTTTTTGCGCTAGACAAGAGCACACTCTTTAAGGTAGGTATGACAGCTAGAAAAATCAGATAATTTATCTGACTATATATATCTGGTATATTTGACAGCTCTTTACAGCCATATTTACATATATGGTCATATTGGTGCAGTTTAAGGAAATGGAAAACTCAACCAAGTCTTTGCAGAAATCATAATTTGAAATCATTTTGCCTAACTTATCTTACTATATTGTGAAGTGTATAAATAAAAGTGTACTTTTTTGGGACTTACCGAATCATAAGTCAAGCAGCCAGTTGCTTTTGATTTATAATTTTTGCGCCATTTTCTATATTCGGCCTTGATAACTGCTGCATGACGTTTCCAATATTTTCCCTCAAGCACAACGGTCTGCGGAAAAAAAACACACAAATATTATATACATATACATACTTATAAGAAATATAAAATACTCTTTTTTTTGTATTTACTTAAATAAATAAATAATTTACTTTACACATTTTCTCTGGACTCGCTAGCGAATCGTATGGTTTGGCTAGCGTCGAGCTCTTTGGACAACTGAATCGAGTTGCCCGCAAACAAAAGTAGAGTCAATAGGCGTTGTGATAATTAAAATTTATGAATCTTTTTTAGTATATACTAAATAAATTTAGGTATACCCTTCGGCTCCCCTAACCGATTCAGTCAGCTTTGGCAAATGAAAACACAGTCGGTGCAGCTCTCGATAAGATAAATCTCTTTCCGCTGCCACCCAGACAAGATAAGAGGCTGCTCATGTAGCTATATACGATATACTACTACGAAATACAATCTAGATTTAGTATTTGACTGACGTGCTATACACACTCGACTATAATATGGGTGTGGCAGACGAGTGGCGCTGCCTCCAGCAATCTCCATTTGTTGTCATAAGCTAATTAGCAGTTATTGTAAAAGGTGTGGGCGTTTGCTTGTTTACAGTTTCTATCATCATTCTGGTTTTTGTTGGCCCCTTTCATATTCTGTGCAATATGTAAACAGTTTGCGATGTACAATGTAGTCCTAACTAAGCTGCAAATGTGCTAATCTACCAAGAATCAACGATAAGAGAGTCGTTTTAAAGTCAAGTGTGGGTGAGCCAGGAAGTGAAGTTGTTGTCAAGGGTTTGATATGAATCAAATTTGATTAGACAATATTTATATTAGAGAATAGATGGTAGTATATTCTTCAATCTTGTTTTCGTTTATATTTTATTATGAATAAGATTTGTGCCATAATATCGAATATCAAAAGTATTTAGCATCTATATCTGTTACCTAGATTCGGATATATAGTATCAAGTATCGAATATACAGTAACCCAGTAATTAGTATGTGGTATAGAATATATAAAAAATATAAAAAAAATCTATTTTCCCTATACAATATATATACTAGATACTAATATATAGTATGGAATATAGTTTCTATATACACTAAAAAACATTTCCTTTGCATATTCATCTCCTGCTCATTTTAGTATCTAGTATCCATTATCTATTATTTATTATCTATCAATATCTACCTATTATCTACTGCATATTATACTTGTTATATTATCTAGTATCTAACTGAAAAAGCTATTTTCATCATCATATTATCGGAGATAACAATAAAATCTTATCTTTCATCTACGTATATTGACAGTTACGTTAATAAACAAGTTCATGTAAACACGTGTAGACTCTGATTTAATTGTTGGCAGTTCAAGTTATATCCATATCGCGTGATTTCATCACTCATGCAAAGTAAAATCTAGAACCTTTACCGAGGGCAGTTTTAAAAAATTATAAAAAAAATTAATTGTTGAAACTTTTAATAGTTATATAGAAGCTATTATCCTTGTGTATATTATGATGAATTGTTTCGAAATAATCTCAAAACTATGTTAAATGGATATTGAAGAGTAGTCATCTAATTAAATTCCCTACAACGTATAATAGAAAACGGACATTTATAATATTCCTGTAATACTAATAATACTATTTTCTACAATAAAAATATCTTTCTTTAAAATAATATATAAAGTCCCTAACAAAGGTTAATATGTAACAGTACAGGGAAATATTATATACTCTCCGTACAAGAAATAAAATGTCTACCTTAAGTTTAAATTGCGTGTGTGGTATATAATACCCTATACTCAAAACAGAAATTACCTCATTTATGCCATCTACAAACTGAAGTATTCACATCTGTACAAACTCTCGAATCGCTCGAATTCAATCCCGTTTGCAATAAATAACACTCGACAATAGGTGAATGATTCCCAAAAATAGAAACACGCGTTCTTATCACGTGCTGCAAGTTAAAAGCAGAACAACGGGAAATCTATATTGCTTATGTACATATACATGTATACCAATACATATATGTGGGTATATCTTGGTGCTACTCGTATTATCTGGCGATGAGTTAACGACGCGCGACATCTTGATCACGCGTACGGTAAATGATGTTCGGTCAATCGATGAGTATAATAATTTTTGTCCATGCTCCATGTGGGGGTTGTTTGAGTACATTGCGATAGCATTGATTCAGTTCAAATATAGACTAGGTTAATATGTCAGCTGTTTGGTACACTGATACGAATAGCTAATTAAACATCTGATGAAAAAAATGAACGAGTATTTAGCCCAACAGTTATGGAAGCATATTGCTCAGAAATCTGATTGAAAGTATTATGTACTTTTCTATATATGCTAAAGTGACACAAATTTTTAAATATGTAAAAATTATAATTATATAATTTCGCAGAAATCTGAGATCTAGCGATATAGCCTAATTATGAAATTTAGCTCAATGAGCTCAAATTAGAAATAACTTTGCATCAAATCAATTTCGAATTTAAAAGTTTCCTTTTACGAATATATATGCAAACAATTTACATTTCAAAATTTTTTAACGCCCATTAACGATTATCTTCGAAATATTTATAAATTTTACAGAATTTGTCTTTAATACTTGCTTGAAGAGATTGCGATTTCACATGTGAACTTGACTAAATTTTATTTTAATATAATTTAAATGACCACTATATTCTCCCTATTTCACTAATTGTACAACTCTATTTTTCACTTTTTGTACAACACTTATTTTTTTTTTATTTTGTATAAGAAGAGATGTGCAGTTTTAAAGATCTATAGATGTAGCCTAGCTCATTCATCTTTTATATAGCTGACTTTTGAGTTGAGTTTGATATTTCACAACTTGTTTTATTATATTTGTTTATCACTGTAAACTATTAACCAATTTTGACGCACTGTTGGAAAATAAGTTCATATAGATACTATTATCGCGGTGCGCACATTTTGATACTCTTAACTAGTTAGTGACAGTTGTTACTCTAATACTTACTTGGGGATTACTATGTATGTCAACGTCCAGTGGTGATGCGAATTGACACACCGGTGTTCTGCGCTTTTGTATAACTGCAAAAAAAGGGGGAACAATATGAAAAATAATACAATGACTATGTAAAGAGAGCGCGTCAAACGTTCAGAGATAAGATTTAGCCCGGAGATTAGCGTTATTTCTACAGATAGCCTCAGAGAGATGCCAAAAACTGTTTTCAGCGGATTCTAAAAACGTGTTGGCAAATTAACAATAACAATGAGCCTCAGACGCATGGAAATCACGGCTGCATGACAATTCATTATGTTGTAAACTCATAACGATATTTACTAAGCATATATGCTTTGGAGTACGATTGTGAAAGGCAAGGCATATTGAAATCTATATACATTTTACAATCAAATTGTAATAGTTCGTATATATAATATGAAATACTATATAGTTATACTGTTTCTACGCAACTAAAAAGGGCCTTGCCTCAACTTAATAT